CAGTGACCGTGACAAGGAATGGTGAAACTGTTGAGTTTGTAAAGGATGAATACATTCAGAGCGACATTGAAAAGATGAAGGCAAAGCTGCCAACCTTGAAACCAGCATTTCGAAGACCGAATGGTACCATAACTCCTGCCACATCGAGTGGGTTGACAGATGGTGGCAGTGCCATGCTGCTAATGTCCGAAGAGAAGGCAAAACAGTTGGGATATCCCACAGATATCAGCGTAAAAAGCTGGCATTTTTCTGCCATTGATCCGTATCCACAACTTTTACTTGCCCCTGTGCTTGGGTGGGGTCCAACATTAAAACGCGCAGGTCTTACGGCGGAGGATATTGATCTCTTTGAGATTCATGAGGCGTTTGCTGCGCAGGTGCTTGCAACTATCAAGTGTCTACAATCTCCGGAATTTTTTGAAAGATACACCGGTTCGAGGGATGTTGTGCTGAGGGAAAAATTTGATTTTTCCAAACTGAATGTTAATGGAGGAGCTATGGCGCTCGGTCATCCTTTTGCAGCCACCGGTGGACGCCTTGTAACATCATTGGCAAATGAGCTGCGCCGTTCAGGCAAACGTCATGGTCTTATTAGCATATGCGCTGCTGGTGGATTGGGGGGCATTGCCATTTTGGAACACACACCCGAGACAAACTAGTATGACAAAATTAGTTTGCCCATTCTTACCCGGATTTGGATATGTTAGGGAGTCCGTGACTATTAGGAAGCAACTATTATATATTTTTTTTCTTGGATTTTTTTTTTTTATTATTTTCCTTTACTGGGATCTTGATTTTTTTGCAAGTGTGATGTTTCTGCTTCTTTTATTTGGTTTTAGTTTCTTTTAGTGGAAAGGAGGGCATTAAATGCTTTTGCTTATTAGGTTTTGTCCGGACGACATCAATTTTTTTTTTCTTTGTTTTGGAATATATGGTCAACTTTATTGCTATATTATGCCTTTATTTCCTTTGTTGTTTCAATACAACTTCTTCCAACAAACTTTTGACACCTGCACAGGAAATTAGAGATGATAATCTGGGCTGTAGGCACAACGAACAAGGCGAAGCTGGACTCTGTCGATACTGCTGTTCGTATGTGCTTTCCGAGTTATCAGCACGATGTTCGTCCTGTGGCAGTACTTTCCATAGTTCGTGCACAACCCATCTCGGCCGAGGAGTCGCAACAGGGTGCACAGCACCGGGCTCATGAAGCTCTGCGTCTTGTCCCTGAGGCTCATTATGGCGTTGGACTAGAAGGCGGGCTGGAGAAAATATCGGATCGATGGTTTGAATGTGGTTGGATGTATGTGATAGAGCGCTCTACTGGGAGGTGTGGAATAGGCTCTTCCGCACGTTTTGAGATGAGCCAAAAGCTTATGAGCAAGATTCTTGACGAGGGCAAGGAACTAGCGGAGGTAATGGATGAGATGACCGGTCAGACAGATGTAAGGTCTGGACAGGGTGCAATGGGAGTATTGACAGCTGGATATTTGAACCGTACTGAGTCCTATTCTCACGGTCTGATCTTTGCGCTAGCTCCATTTCTTTCCGATCACAAGTATTGGGACTAATAAACACCTTTTTTTTTATTTTTGAAAAAAATATGCAGAATGCGTTTTGATGCGGGACTGAGGGCGCATTGTTTCAGACTTAAAATTTTTTTTTTTAAATAACCTCAGCTTTTCCTTTACTTGCCTTCATAGAGGCTTGTGAGAAGAATTGTGACCAGATAGGGCCAATTAGACGATAGCGCTTCTTGTTTAGGCACTTCGTTTCTTTGCTCTTTAGCTGATTTTTTTTTTCTCCAGGGATACCGCGTTGTGAGGCAGTGGATGCAGTTTTTTCTTTCTTTTATTTCATTTGGCCGCTGTTGTTCCTCACGCGGAGGGGATTCCCGGCGGTTGCGCGGCCCCGAAGACCACCACTTCTTGGGTCCACAACAACTTTTTTTATTGTAGAATATGCCTTTTGAATTTATTTGCTTATTTTTCTATGCGTTTCGGGTGGATCTTACTTGGAGTGGCGAAATTTGGGCGCATTGGAAAAGACTTTTTATCCTCTCTTGTTTTTTTTTTTCTTTTTAATCTGCACGAAGAAGGGACCAGGTCTCGTCTAGTTGCATATCCTTGTGCAATTGTTGATATTCGGGAACGTGATTATGTTTACACTGGTGGGGTTGGGCCTTGGCGATGCCAGTGATATCACGCTAAAAGGTCTTAAAGCTGTGCATGAGGCAGATGTTGTGTACTTGGAGGCTTACACATCGTTTCTCATTAATAGTTCTGCAGAGGAGCTGGCCAATGTTTACGAGAAACCTGTTCTGGTTGCGGACAGAGAGATGGTAGAGAGTGGGGAAGTCCTGCAGGAAGCTTCAGATAAAAAAGTTGTATTGCTCGTTGTTGGGGACGTATTTGGAGCCACTACACACTTCGATTTGTTGTTGCGATGCCATGAGCAGGGTATTCCTTGCCGATCCATCCACAACGCTTCTATTATTAATGCTGTGGGTTGCTGCGGACTTCAGCTCTATCGGTTTGGCCAAGTAATCTCCCTCTGCTTCTGGACGGAAACGTGGCGCCCAGACTCGTGGTACGACAGACTCATGTCTAACCGAGAGATGGGGCTCCACACATTGGTATTGCTTGATATCAAAGTAAAGGAGATCTCTGATGAAAATCTGGCACGTGGACGTAATGTGTATGAACCACCACGCTATATGCGTATCAATGAGGCCATTGACCAAATATTGGAGGTTGAACAGAAGAAAAAGGGCGGTGCAGTAGCGGAAGATGGAAGCACCATGTCCATTGCTCTGGCACGTGTGGGGTCGAATGCGCAGCAAGTCGTCGCCGGAACAATGCGGGAGTTACGTGAGCTTGATTTTGGGGATCCACTTCATTCATTGATAATTGCTGGTGATATTCACACCTGCGAGACTGAACACGTTAACCTCTTTCGCTCAAAGTAAGTTTAAAAAAATGAGGAAAAAGAGGAAAGAGGATCCCATGGGGTCAAAAGGGAGCAGCATTTATCTTTATTTCTTCCTCTCCTTACCTTTTAGCCGTTGGCTTCCTGTTTACTGCGTTTTTTGTGTTTCATGTGCCTTTCTCTTAAAGGAAAGGGAGTCAAAGGAGGCCCACACATTGCATTAGGAGCAATAATGCGGGGGGCCACAAGACACTTGCGCTACCTGTGTCCCACTGGCGTTCTGATGAATTTTTTTCCTCTGGGAATGTATAGTGGTCCAGTAAACGCACATGTTTTTCTACCAAATAACAATCTGGATGGTAGGGCGACAAATCACATGAAAAAGATTGATGGACTGACGAAGGACCCACAGCTTGTCTTTTCTCGAAACGATTTGAAGCTCCAGTGCGAGTATTGTCGGTTTCAGTGGGTCCACGACACACTTTGTGTGCGTTGCCCTGCTCAGCCAAAGCACAATAAGCGCGAGATGTGGTTGCAGCCAACGTGGATGTGGGGGAAACAGCAGCCGTACCAGTACTATAAATACATGCCAGCGGTACGCAACCCGAGGACAGGTATGCCTTTGGCTCGTGAGGATGCAAGCGGTATGAACAACGAGAGACGTGGGCAGGGTCTAACCACGAAAACACTCAATATCGAGAAGGAGAGACGGGGTATCTCGAGAGCAGTGAGCAATATTGGGAATTACAACACCCGCTGGCAGACTCGTTTTCCCTTTCCAGCGTAGCGGTGAAGAATCCATTTTTCTTTTCTAGTTTTCTCTACGGCAGTGGGTTCGCTGCCCTTGGGTGTGGCTTATATTACTCTGTCGGTGGTATTATTGCTTTCTCTGTTTCAATTCTCTCTCAAGCTGATAGACTGAAGGGCATAATCAGCAGCTGCAACACCGCTGCTTACTGCACTGGAAAGTTTCCTTTCAAAAAACGAGGAAGGTCTATAAGTTAAGTACAGTGGATATTTGAAGCTATGAGTGCTGATCCTGATGCACCGGCGGATCCAAATCGCCGTAGCGGGGGACACATTGTTCGAAATATGATTTATAGACACGATAGCGCCCGTAATCTTGAGATTGTAACAGGTTGGCAGGATCAGGGAACGCGTGAATACAATCAAAAAATTGTGCCTCCCGCCAAAATGGAATTACATTCGAAACACCCATGCCATGCACTCAATACACAGCTGCTGCGCTGCAGCTTAGATTGCCCTGCAGAAATGAAGTTGGCAGGACGCATCGCCACATGCAACACAGAGCGCAAGGCTCTTATGGTTTGCCTCACAAAGCAAAAACATTGGAAACCAGAACCCCCGTCGGCGTGGTACAGATTTTGGTGACCAACGTGGACGGATGGTAATCAGTTTTACCCCGATAAAAGCTAAGTATTGCCGTTTTTTTTTTTTTTTTTTTTGAGGCGGCGTAAGGTGCCATTGTCTGTTTTCACGCTTTATTGCTTCTCCCATTCCCTATTTTCTCTTACCACTCACTTTTTGTTTTCTTCACGATCATTAAAAAATACCCTCAAAAATAAAGATTAGGAAGAAGCGGAACGCAGCGAAAAGCCAAGTAACCAGCAAGAATATTAACAAAAATTCCCCAAAGAATTAACAAAGATGCTTCGTCGCACAGGCCCTGCCGTGAGTTTCACGACATCTCACCGCGCTCTCATGTTGCGCACAAGCCGCCCACTTCTGGGGGGTGATATGAACTCCAAAGAGCGCTTTAAAGCGGCATGGGATGAGATGCCTCTTCACCTCCTTGGTGCCTCGCGAAAACAAGTGTTTGAGTGGCACTGGAAGTGCATGTACCAGCTTGGTATTCGTGATACCACCCGTATGACGAAGCTCCGAGTGTTGACGAATTGGGTTGGACTCTTTTCCTTTATGTACCTCACCTATATCTCCGTTTTCTACTCCTCCTTCTACCACATTTATTACGAGGACTGGCCTGAGGAGTTCAAGCGCGAGAATGCACGCGCCTACGCGCAGTCAAAGGGTTCTGATGTATGGGCAGCCGATGGCAAGTTCATCCGTCCATATTTCCACATCAGCCCACCGATGCTCACCATGACGGCTGAGGACATTTAAAGCAATAGACAGTAGAGTGAGCAAAGGAACAGAGAAAGTAGAGAAAAATGTATTACTTATATGAAGAAGAATTGGGAGTGGGATTTGTGAATAATGAAAAATTCGGGAGGTTTCAATTTCAGCAAGGTGTCAAAAAAATTGGGGAGGGGGGAGGGAGGGAGTATGGTGCTAATTTTACTTTGATATATTTTTTTCTTTTTTCTCCCAAAGCACTTTATGAGAGTAATGAACTCTTCGTCAGACTGTTCGTGCCAATTTATTTATACAATAACCTCGGAGCATTGAAAAAAAAAAAAAAAAAAGGAAGATAGACTGGGAGGGAGACAGAAAAACAGAGATGGAGGTGAGCGTCAAGGAAGTGTGGAGGTGTTTCAAGTATTTCCCTACCTCAAGTTACTTCTCAGTAAGGTGTAAGAGCTCTGTAAGCAGCAGATGAAGAATGTTATGTGCTTACGCCTAGCTTGCTTTTTGGGGACGGTGAGAAGCGTAGCTGTGGTGAGAGTGGGTGTTGTTCTGTGTATATGGCTTCACGTTTAACGATATATACCTATTTATCCATTTGTCTATAAATATGTGTTGTGTATCGCAT